CCTAGATCGTCTAGTGGCTAAGATTCCACCCTCTCACGGTGGCGACCGGGGTTCAATTCCCCGTCTGGGAGCGTTTTTGTGGCGGCATTAACAACTGGAAAGGTGGGGATACTGCTGGTTAACTGCAAGGGACGCAGAGTGTGCATATGTCTTGAAATACCGACACAGTCCATGCGCAGTATTCATTTATGTCCGGGCAATAAGTTTTGAGCCGTTTTGCACATTTATAAATGGTAGGAAAGAACTTGTAGCCTCAGTCTCAAAAGGGCCTCTCCAAGCAGGCAACTCCCAAGTATGATGGCCCTGACATCGTGCAACTGTACATATCAGTGGCTATTTTGTGCGTAGAGAACTCCATATATTCTGTCAGTTATTTTTCAACAAGTGATTGATGAAAAGAAAGTAATCAGTGCATTGTTTTGTCAACATTTATTCACAACTCGTCCTTTTCATTTTCATTCACTTCATTATGTTCATCAACAAAGTTCTCTTCAACGACTTCCTTCTTCCGCTTCTCCTTCACAATTCTCAATACTTCACCAATCAACCTCCAACTCCGCTGATCACCCACAGCCTGCAACCCTGAATAATTCGGCGTGAAAGCAAAACTGATTCCATAGTCCAATTCAAACCAGACCAAACTCCCGCCCGCTCCACTCCATCCATAGAACCGCTCTGTTGTACCAGTCTCCCACTTGGTTCCAATACCAAACCCTTTCGTGAAATATCCAACACCAATTTTAGCGAACGTAATTTCGCGATTGATGACGCGGTCAATGCCGGGTGGACGAGTAGCAAAAGACGCGTTGAATGTTGCAGGGGAAACAAATGCGTGCGTTGTTTTTGATCTACGCACAAGCTCTGCAATCCTAGCAAGGGTGCGTGCGTTCGTGAGTCCGTTGAAGGAAGGAGACTCGGATCGACGTGAGGTCGGGTCGTTGTATGACCATGGGAACATTTTGTTGTGAACGAAAGCTGGGCTGTTTAAAATGGTTAAATGAAGACAGACTTTTAAATAAAAGACGAACATACCCTGACCCAAAGAGTGCCTTATTTTGAACGCTCCCTTTCAAGAACACGGCTTTGATGAGTGCAGTGGGA